ACCAATGGATTCCTCGCTTGAAGAGCAATCCATTGGTGGGGTCACACGTTGGGTTCGAGTCCCGTTTAACGACTCTGGAGCTCAAAACGCGTCTAGAGTTTTGTTCGCCTCCACCGGTCTTCTGGCCCACTGTGTGCCGGCGCCGTGCGCTTTGCTGTGCGGAGCCGAGGGCCGGGGCCGAGCCCACCTGGCCGAAACAACAGCATGCTACAGCAGCACGGGCGCGGCGAGGCGAGCTGTGCCGCGCGGGCGGCAGCTTTTATTGCAGCGCACACAAACCAGTCCGGTAATGCCAGCAGCGCGCAGCAGCGCCGCCAGGGAGCCGCCGGGCAGGGCCAGGCAGGGCAGCAGCCGCAAGGTGCAGGGGGTGTAAAGTTGTTGCCGCGACACCGATCGGAACGGGTTTTCTCCGCCGGGACCGCGGCGCGCCGGAGATCGGCCGGGAGTCATTGGGGATGCGATGCGTGGACGGTCGAGGAACGTGGGGTGTTTGCAGAACTTGTAAAATTTGAGGCGTGCACGTTACCCCGAATAGGATCACACGTGACGTGTCTCCTTGTATGCTTGCTGTGCCCCTCGTCCTGGAGTTTCCCTCTGGAGCCCTGCAGTTGCCGCTGGAGCCGAGGCTGGTCGTGAGAACGTCGCCGAGTGACCCCGGCGCCCTGACCCGGTCGACCCGGTCCAGGCCCGGTCCAGCCCGGTCCAGGCGCGCAGCGTCCGGCCAGCGATGCTGCTGCACTGACCAGCGTCCGGTTCGGTCCAGCGACGCGGCATCCACCGTGACCACCACCTTGTTGTCCAGCGGGCCAGCCGCCGTGGGCCGTGGGAAGGCCGAGTTTCGTAACTTTGTAAATGCCTTAAGTGCGTCGGATGTGAATTTTAATTACCATCTTTGGAATGAGCCCTCATACTGCCCCGTATAAGAAAACCAAACGAGTATTAACTGAGAAATTTGAAAGGGAAAAGAAAAAAATTTGAACTCTACACCCCCTCCCCAGTCTTAATGGGGAGGCCTCCTGCTTTACTTCGGTGTTCGGGATGGGAACCGGTGCTATCAGGTACCTGGGGTTAATCCCGTCAGCGACCCAAGCGTTCGCCGGGGGACCCAGTAGGACCCCAAAGCTCAGGCAGTAGGGTGAGAGCACCCAGTACGAAGCTCTTTGAGGGGCGGGACGTAGAGTGAGACGACAGAGAGACAGAGAGAGACTCAGACAGAGAAGAGGTTTGGTGGGAGCTTCTTGTTTTCGTAGGGTTGGTTGTGTACCCCATGGTACCCCCACTGTCCGGCGCTCCCGTACCGAACATACAGCGTTTTAGGCCAGCTTCAAAGGACTTATCATCGCCTCCCCGACGGATCAAGGAGGCACCACCCGCAACCACACACCGGGTGGTCTGGATTGATGGATCAAATACGCCATCGCTCCAGTGCCGAGGCCAACCCGCCGAAGCGGATTGCTTTTTAGACACCCACAGCGGAGTGGCCAGGTGAATGTGACTCTGACCACTACGCTATCACGCTTGTACGTCTGGCAGCGTGTTGGACGACGGGTTTGAGTTGCACTGGGAGGAAGGCGGTCGAAAAATGTAATGAAATGATGGGATTCGATCCCCGGACCCCGCCATCGGGATCACACGACTTTACGCTCTCGGCCACCACGGCCCATGGTGAGGGGACCGGCGTGAGGTGGGTTCTTGACGCAACAGGACTCGACCGACCCGGTCAAAATTTCGCAAGAAGTTGGGGGAGTCGAACCGCCGACCCTAGCACTGGGAACCGACGCCTCTACTCCCTGGACCACCACGTCCCATGCTCGGGCTGGGCTCAAGTTCACGGGTTTTAACCGCACTGGGTGAGGCAGTAAAATTAAATGGAAATATTTGTTAGGAGTCGAACCTCCGGCATGTGGGCCTGTTGCACACGGCTCCGCTCTGATGGCCTCGAACCACCACCCGTAGGATAGCAGGTCGAAAAAACTTTTGTGACGCTGGTATTCGAACGCCGGCCTGCGGTAACTCGATCCCACGTCTCTAACCTCTCGGCTATCACAGCAGTTGTGAAACGCGACGGATCATCTGCTTTCATTGACGTTCGTTGAATGAGATTTTTTTGTCTATATTTGAAAGAGTTCACAACATCCATAGGGAACATGATTGACTTTCGCGCGAACTATTGCATGAAATGAACAACTCCGGCATTTCTCTCTCTCTCTCTCCCTCCCTCTCCCTCTTCGTCTCTCTCTCCGTGCCCTGGACCGAGGCCCAGGCCGGTGGCCTGCTCCACCTCGGCGAGGAGGGGACGCGCGGAGGGTCACGGGATCTGCCGCTGTTGCTTGCGGCCGAAGTTGAATTAATCAGCTCTGAGTCATTGAGTGGTGAAGAGGCGACGCGTGCCTGGGACAAAGGGCTCCTTTTTTTCGTGGGCCGACGGCGAGGGGAGGGGAGGAAAGCGTTGGTGGGTAGTGGAGGTGCGCGACGATCCTAGGAAGGGTGATGCAAATAAAACTTTGCACCGGCGGCGCCGCTAGCGAGGGAAGTTTGGTGTGTGATTTGGTGATGAGGCACCGCTGTCGTACGGAAACACACACACAGACACACGCGCACACGCTCTGGCGCACACACACAGACACACTTACGTGCGGCGCAACCCTCATCAGAGCACAGCCTGAGGCGAGCCGCGCCAGGACACCCAGGCCCCTCGAAACCTGTTGCGGAGCGAACAAACCGTGGAGGGGCTCGGCGGCCAGGGCCAGGGCGGCCAGGGCGGCGGCGCACGGTGGCGCGGAGACCAACGGCATTCCCGTGTCAGCCGCCGCGCCGCCGCGCGCCGAGCACTCCGAGAACCCCGAGAGGGCGAGGGTGGTGGAGCAGGGCGAACAGGGCGACCCCGCCCGCGGCGGAGCACGAGGGGGCCGAGCCGGGCCGCACTGGGTAGCACGGCAAGCACCCCGGCAAGTACCACGCCAAGTACTCGCAGTAATGAGGCAGGCCCTTTCATGGCGGGCAGACGACGAAAAAGAAGGATCTGAAGGCAGAAACGTGAAAAAGTTAGACAAAAATAATGAGTCGCGGCCGCCGCGATGAGCGCGAGCACGTCACCCGTGAATCAACCCCATGAACCCGTCAGCCTTGCCGTCCGTCATCCCGCTGGGCCGCGCCGCCGCGCCTGCTGCTGGCCGGTCCCGGACCGCGCCGCGGTCTCTCTCGCACCCCCAACGCGTCCGGTGGGTGCGAGAGAGACGGAGCGACGAGAGCACTGTTCGCCATGCGCTGCTGGCCGCGCCTGGCCGCGCCGCCTTCACCCCACACCAGCACGGCTCGCATCGCGCCTCCCCTCCCCCGTGCCTCCCCCTGGCCCTCCCCGCCACCTCATACAAATTTGCATGTTTCGCCGGACGGCTGCGGCGGGCGGTCCGAGAGCGGAGCGGAGCCGAGCCATGTTCGGTGCACTGTACTGCAGCGGGGCCGAGCGGGGAAAGGGAGCGCGCGGACACACACACACACACACACACACACACACACACACACACGCCCTCCCGCAGTGTGTTGTGCCATTCCTCTCCGGGCCGCGTCGAAGCAGGCCGCGTCGGTGCGGCGAGGCTCTTTTCAGTTGCAAGATGCAGAGCCGAGCCGCCGCAGTCCGCGATAGACGAGGCCAGACGAGGCGAGGCGGCGGATGAAAGAGAGCGGCGCTCGGGGTTTTCTTTTCACACGGCGTCCCGCGCCGCAGCCAGGCAGGCAGCCAGGCAGCCAGGCAGCCAGGCAGGCAGCCCAGCGCGCGCGGACTCAAAGAGGGGCGGCAACCTGATATGCGGGCTCTGGCTGGGCAGGTCCAGCGCTGCGTGGTCCGCGTGGTCCGCGTGGTCCGCGACCCAGGGCCGGGCCCGGGGGATGAGAGGCCGCTGGAACCGGTCGGATTGGCCGAGCAGAGGGCGAGGCTTGCTGGACCACAGCGGCGGCACAGTGGACGCGCTGGACTCTCCGCTGACCGGGCAGCAGACCGGGCAAGGCTTGTCCACCGCTGCGAACCGGCGGCAGAATAATGGCATCGGTTGAACAGTGTCGCGCTAATAGAGCCGCGTCGCGGCGTGTCGCCGTGCGGCGCTCAGATTGGCTTCTGTTTTGTTTCCACGTGACAGCAATTATTTCGCGGTGGAAATTGTCGAGGCGAGTCGCGCTGGAAAATGGGGCCGCAAAAAGTCAACACGGCTTGGCGGGCGGGCGGCGCCTGTGCGGCGCAGACAGAGGGACGTGGCCGTACACGGGGCAGAAGGAGGAGGCGGGGTGCAGGCGGAGATAAATTCCCGTAGAGAGGTCGGAAAGGGGAGGGTCGAGGAGGGCAGGGCGGTAGGGCGGCAGGGCATCCGCCCCGGTTGCTTCTCGCCTCGGCCGCGCCCTGCTGAGTCCTGCCGAGTCCTGCGCAGCCCTGCCGAGCCCTGCGCAGCCCTGCCGAGCCCTGCGGGGGCGCACGGACGGGGCGGGCCGGCCGCCCATCCAGGCAGCCAGCCAGCCAACATCTCGTGGTGGGACACTTCCCCGCGCCGCTCCGCCCGCCCCCTCGCCCCCCGGGGCAGACGCGGCCCGGGTGTCTGGTTGGCTGGATGGTGGTGGTGGAAGGTGCCCACACTCCTCCCCCTCCTGCACCACCCCTCGCCTCTCGCCCCTCGCCGCGCGCCCGCCGCTGCCGAGCCGAGCCGCCTGGCCGCACCGCACGGCTCCACACTCAGTGCTGCGCTGAGCGTGACAGCAGCAGCAACTTGCCAAGCCTCCCGCGGAAGGCTGAGCCCGCCGAGCCTGGCCAAGCCTGCCCGTGGCGTGTTCTGCCCGCGACGCTCCGCACCACACCGCCCGCCCCGCACGCCGTGCCCTGCCAGCGTGCCCTGCCCTGCCCGCCTGGCGGCGCCGCGCCCACCCCGCCCCGAGTGACAGCGCCGCACCGTCTCGACGCCGGCCGCCTCGCCCCGCTGCTGGCCGTGCTGGCCGTGCTCCTGGAGTCGGCGACGCCTGTCAGCGGTCAGTCGCGCCGCCACTCACCGCACTGCACTTAGCGCGCACTCGCTGACGTACTTGTTGCATTAGTGCGCGGCTCTAGCGCTACACTTGTGTACACTATTGTACAATTTGTCACCTATTAATTTTAGCTTTTTATAGCTTTTGATCTCGTTGTGTGATTAACGTACTAACCATTTTGTTTTTCGTTTTTGTACTAACTTCTTTCTTTTTTGCGCATGAGTTTTTAGCGTTTTCTCCCATTGCAGTATTGCTTTATTAGGCCGCCGATTCCCCATCTCGTTTCCATCCGATGCAGACTCCTTTTTTCTCAGTTTTGCTTTTATCTTACCGTTTTTGTTATTTTATTTTTCAATTTTTTGTTGCCGTTTTTTGTTGTTTTTTTTGTGCTTTTGGTTTGCCTTTGTTTTGTTTTAGCTTCGTTCTAGCTTTTGCCACTAACCCCGCGGCCATGTCATCCGACCGGACGACGGTTTTGTTTGGATGGACGATCGCCGGCCTGAGTAAGTAGACTTTGCGGGCCTCGCTGTATCGCCCTAATCGCCGGACGGGACGCGTTGCCGCGCGTTGCATCTGTTGATCCCGCGGCGCGACCCGCCCGCTCCTTTTTTTGTCCTCCCAAATCGCTGTATATCATTTTCCGCTCTCCCCGCGCTGGATTTGTCTCGTTCCGGGCGACTGCTCCAAATCGCACCCGCCGCCAGCCCCGCCGCCAGCCCGCCCGAGCGAGGCCCCCCGCCTGCCCTGGCTCGGCGTGGCCCGGCGCTCCCTCGGGACGTGTCTCGTCTCCCTCCACAAGGCGCCGCAGCGCCGCGGCGGCGACGGATTCCCGCTCATTTTTGAAACTGTAGGGCGGACGAGCGGGACGAGCGCCCCGCTGCCTCCCTGGTCTACTTAGCATATTCAGTCGAGGGGCGCCCCGGCTGCCCCCCTCCCCGCCGCGCCCCTCCCGCCCCTGGCCGTCGTCGACGACTGCACTCGACGGCGGGGCCGCTGTGCTCCCCTCCTCTCCCCGCACGTCCTCGTCCTGGCCGTCGTCGTGACCAAGTTTTTCGGTCCCTTAATTACTGGCGGTGGCCTCGGCCTGCCCGGCCGGCGGTGAGGCGGGCTTGGCCGGCCCTGGGCCGGGCCTCGGCAGCAGCGCCGGGCACATCATCCCACTCATTAGTTCGTTCCGTCGGTAATTCTTCTCCCCGCCCCGCCCCGCCGCAGCACGGCTCGGTACGCCCCGCCGCGCCCTATAGCAGAACACCCCCGGCTTGGCTGCCGCTGCCTGCCGCCGACTCGCGCTGCGGAGTGGAACATTGGCCGGTTGCTAGGCAACAGAAAGACCCCCGTCCTGCCCTTCCCTGCCCCGCCGATGCATGCAGTGCAGCGACGCGCGAGGGGGCCGGGGCAGGTGGGGGCGGCGGGGGCTCGGGGGAGATTGCGGTGTGAGCCGCGTTGCACAGCACCGCTGGCAGTGGCGGCGGCAATTCAACTGCATCGGCCCGTGTTCCCGCGCGGCGCCGCGCCGGGGGAGGGGAGGGGAGGGGAGGGGGTATTCACCAATATGAATTGGGCGGCGGCCGCACTTGACTCTAATCCCGGCTGGACGGCATGGCGCAGCGCGGCGCAGCACTGCGGAAAGAGGATTGGTTCCGTTCATTGGGACGAGTGGATTTGTTTGGGGCGGCCACGGCCATGGTGGTGGAGCGGCCCCTTGCTGGATGACGGCCAGCTCGACCTTCAAGGTGGCGTGGTCGCCGCGGCGACGGCCGCAATCAGTCATGCCCGAAGGCCAGGGCGGCGGGATGGAGAGGCGAGAGAGAGAGAGAGAGAGAGAGAGAGAGAGAGAGAGAGAGAGGAGAGGAGAGGGCGCCCCGATAGGGCCTGAAAGGCAGGGCGGGCCGAGGGCGGGCCCTGGGAGGGCAGCGTGGCCGCGGTCCAGGATTGATAGCAGCGACGCGCTCCTAAATCAGCGCTCCGTTCTCGGCGGGAGGGGGAGAGACCGAGAAGCGAAGGGGATGCCGCCAGACGGACGGACCCTCCTCGCCTGCCTGGGCTGGCGCAGGCTGGCGCAGGCTGGCGCGGACAACGCCCTGCCGCGGCCTCTGCCCCCGCCCGCCTCGCCGAGACGGCTCGAGCGTCGCAAAAAGCAGTAAAAGCTGATGAATCTTTGACGAAGCACTAATTCCGCCGTTGCCGCCAGGGCGTCGTCTGTCTGGCCGGAGACCCTGCTTCACGATCGGAGGACGGCGGCGACTTCGCTGATGGAGCCTGCGAGGTAGGCAACCCGCGTGCGCGGCTGCGGCCGGGTTGCCTACCCGGGCTCCAGCGGGCGGCGTGCCCGGGGCGGGGGTCTCGAGCCGTCCCGTCGGGCGGTGCGAAGCGGCCTCGCCGCCACGCCGCCACGCCCTCGCGGGATGACAGATGCCACCCCTCGTCGCCTCGCTGCCGCCCTGCCGCCCTGCCGCGCGTCCCCGTTATAAATTCGTTGCCTGGTGACGGATTCGCCGCGCCGCGTCTCGCCGCGCCGCCCGAGCCACGCAGAAGTGCCCCGCTGGCTTTGCCGCCGGCTTTGCGTCGCAGCGCTGGGACGGGACGGGGCGCCTTCACAACGAGCACGGCCTCGAGGGCGGCGGGCAGGGCCGCGGCGGAACCCCGGTATAGAAAACCCGGGTAGAATGCGCCGGGTAGAACCCTGGTAGAGCGACGCTGGAATCAATAGCCGGAGGCAAGGCGTTGGACAGGGCGCGCTGCTCGGCGCCGCTCGGCGCTGCTTGCTGCTTCAAGGAAATTGAAATTGGATCGTGTCACTGAAAGGAAAGGGAATCGGCCCGCTGCTGGCTGGCACTGGCTGGCAGGCAGTGTAGGAGCGGGGAAGGGGTGACTCCTCGAGAACACACCTGGTACACGAAGCCGTGCCCCGGCGTCGCCCGCCAGCCCGCGGGGGACTCCTTTCGGTTTTTGCTTCCCCTTCTCCGTCGCGTGTTCCTTGTTCGCAATCCGTCGCCTCCCCTGGCCCAGCCCCTGGCCCAGCCCCTGGCATTCCCGAACGGGGAACGGCCGGCCCGCGGCCCGCCCTGGTTGGGGTGCCCAGCGTGGTCGTGCTCGGGGCCAGTGGGGCCAGTTGGCAGGGCGCCGCCGCGGCCCCGCGGCCCCCCACGGGCCAACGGGCACCAACAGGGCCACCAGCAGCGCGGCCGAGGCGGCAGCAGGCGGCGGCAGCCTCTGACAATGGATGTTTGAGGAAAGCGTAGCGCGGCGGCAGTCTCCTGGCTGTTTGCCGTGGCGGGGTGGGGCGGGGGGGGGGGGGGGGCGGGGCGGGCGGGGCGGGGCGGGGCGGGGCGGGGCGCGCCTGGCGTGGCGTGGAGTGGCGGCGCTGCGGCAACTGTCAGAGGCGACGCGAGAGCCGCGCTGCCGCGCCGCGCCCTGCTCTGCGCTTCGCTCGCCTCGCTCCTCCCCCGCCTCCCTCGCCGTCCCGTCCGCCCCCCTTTCCCCACCATAGCTCTCGTGCGGCGCAGCGCGCGGTCGGGTCGCGTCGGGTCGGGCGCCGCCTGGCGTCGGTAGCGGCGTCTGTGCCGACGGCTGGGGTGGGGGTGGGGTGGGGGGGGAGTAGCGCGCTCCCTCGCTCGGCCCGTTAGAGAATTCCGCTGCGGGACGTGGCGGCGGCTCGCCCCTCGCCTCTCGCCGCCCGCCTCGCCTCGCCGCCGCGGGCCCCTCCACCCCCTCCTCCCCCGCCACCCCTTCCGCCCTCGCGGCCCGCCAGAGGGAAGGGCCCAATCTCCCCGATCACCGCGCTACGCCCCGCCACGGCCGCCGCGCCACGCCCGCCACGCCCCAGCGAGGGGGCCTCTAGGACTGTGGTGGTGCTTGTCTGCCAGGGCCACGCTCGCCCCGCGCCCCGCCCGTCTCCACGCCCTGCCCGTCGTGCAACTCCAGCGCGCTCTCTTTCTCGTGACGAAAAAGAAAACGAAAAGGCCCGGTACGGCGGCATGGAATCTCGTCTCGGCGTCGCCGTGGCGTCGCGTGGTGAGCGGGGCCGCCAGGTGGGGCCGAATCACGTCATGCAGTGATTGCCTCGCTGTCATGTATTTCTGCAGGGCGGCGTCGAGCTTCGATGCGAGTGCGCGGATCTTGTGACGGGGTCCCAGTGACAGGGTCCTAGTGACGGGGTTCCAGTGACTGCGTCCCAGTGAGAAGGCCCCAGTGACAAGGAGCCGGTGACGGAATCCTAATGATGGGGTCTTAGTAACGAGGTTCCGTTGACGGGGTCCTGACGGGTCTCCGTCCTGGTGACGGGGTCCTGGTGACACAGCTGTGCGACGGGACAGCGGCGCAACTTCGCCGACGCGACACCTCCCCCACGACGCTCTTTTCCACGCGCCGCACTCTGCCCCTCCAGAACTCGACGCGCTGCGCGCTCGTGACGCCGCGAAACAGTTCGCCCGGCCGTCTCTGGCGTCCGCCCGCCCGCCCGGCCCGGGCCGCCATTCCCTGCGCGCTGTGCCTTCCCTTTCCCCCGGCGTCGTGTAACGGCTTCTTCGCATTCTTTTTGTTTGCGGCTGGAGACCATCTGTCTGCCAGCTCGGGCTGGCTGGCGCTGGCTGGGGCTCCCCGCTTTGGCCCCGTGTCCCATGTCAACCAGCCCTTCCCCGGCCCTGCGCGCCCTTCCCGGCACTTCTCTGGCCTCGCCGGCCGGGCCCCGCGGCCCCGCGCACTGGGACATGCGGAGCGCTCCTCACGTACTGCTCCCTGCGGCTATTTCCATCGCGCAGCGCTGGGCCGGGGCGAGGCGGGGCGGGGTGGCTGGGCGCTGCACGCGCGATATGATTTCGGCAGTTTGTTGCTTTTGTTTTGACCGCCCGCCGCGCCACCCCGCTCGCCGACGTGCGGCCACGCCACCGTAAACCCCGCGCCGTGAATTCGACTGCTGTTTCCGCCGCGCGTAAAAGTCGTCGTCGTCATCGTCCCCCGCGCTGATAAGCACGCGGAACGACACGTACTTGGCGGGGTGCTTCGCGCCGCGCCCGCTCCGACCGTTCCGCCGCGCCGAGGCCAACGCCCCGGTGGGGCCGTGGGGCTTCCACTTCCTGATCGCCGAGGGCGTCCTCGAGGCCGAAGTGGCGCGCCGCGGCGCCGCCGAGGGCGATGAAGGACGCGCCGGAGTCGTCCACATCCGCGACCCGGAAGTCGGCGAGCAGCGCGAGCACTGCGAGCAGCCGGAAGGGGAACTATTGGGGCGGCGCGCGCGGGGCAAGTGCCGGGGCGGGCGGGGCGGCCTGCGGCGTGGCCGTCCACCCCGAGACGCTGGCAGAGGGGAGCCGAGGCGGGGCGGGGCGGGGCGGGCGCCTCTCGGATTCTGAAACGGGCCGTTTCCGCAGCGGCGGGCAGTTGGCGGTCTGCGGGAATATCGAGCGGGTAGGGACGGGACGGTCTGCAGGGAGGGGAGGGGGAGGCGGGGCGAGGCGTGAGGCAGAGGGGTGCCGCGCCGCACCGCCGCACCGCGCCCGAGGGACTGACGAAGTTAGCGTGACCGTGGGTTACGCGCCCCTTGGCCGTAGGGAGTGCCAACAGACGTGACTGTCGTGGCTGGCCGTGCAGGCCGTGCCCGCGGCCGCGCCATGCCAAACTTTGACCGCGCTGCCGCGGCGAGGCGAGGCGATGCGCGGCGGCCCCCGCGGCCCCCGCGGCCCCCGCGGCCCCACTCCACCGGCCGTTCCGCCGCCCGGCCGCCCGGCCGGTCGGCAATACGGCCCGTGCTCGCCTGACTTACGATCGTCTGCGCTCCGCCTCGGCCCGCCTCGGCCCGCCCCGCCTCGTGACGGCATGAGTTAGTGACGTTCCCGCCGCCGCGCCCTGCTGCCCTGCTCGAGTAGCTTTACCGCCGCGCCGTGCGCCACAAACGAAAATGGGCTTCCGATGTTTTTTTCATGGCGAGGGCGGCAAGGCGGCTGGCCCGGCAAGGCGTGCGCAGGACACAAATAGGCCGCGCCGCCGGCGCCCAAATGGAGTGCCTTTCCTTTGCCTGACGTACTGACGTACCGCTGTGTTTGCAGGATGATGTGATGCAGAGCACGCACGCCACCGTCAACATGAGCGCCGCGACCGCCACCCCTGGTCGCCTCCCGACCCCGGTTCCGGCCGCAGCCAGCCTGGCCCCAGGACAGCTCGGCCCCACGCCCGCCATCCCCACCCTGAAGCAGCTGCAGGACCACCACATCAAGGCCAAGCAGATCGGCGGCGTGGCCTCCAACAACAACAGCACCACGGCCACCAACAACAACAACTACAAGTCGGGGATGCAGCCTCCGCGTACGGTGCCGCCCGTGGTGCTCAAGTTGGACGCGGTGGAGCCATCCACCAAGCGGACTTACTCCGTGTCCACCGCGCAGGCCGAGCCAGCCACGCCCGTGGCGGCTCCCTGCGACGGCCCGGCCGAGCCAGCGCCCAAGAAGGCACGCAAGCACTCGGAGAGCTCCGAGGCCCCCGGCTTCTCGCTCAAGGTCCCCGCCGGGCTGGCGGCCTCGGCCATGACAGACGTGGGGCTCGGCGTCTCACCAGTCTTGCACACCCCCGGTGTGATTTTGGCCGTGGAGCGGCCGCCACTGCCGGGGCTGCTGCCGTACCCGCCTCCTAACCCGTTCCTGGTAGGCTTGCCGCCGCCGCCGACCTCGCCGATGGCGCTGCTGCCACCGTCCAGCTCCCCGATGGTGCACCTACCGCCGCCGCCGAGGTCCCCGATCTCGGCCCTGCCGCTGTCAGCGACGACGCCGTTGGGGTTGTTGCCGCCGCCGCGACCGCCGTCAGGTTCAACAGCGTCCATGCCGCCCGTCAGCGCGCCGTCGCGTCCGCCATCCCGCCCGTCGTCCAACGGCTCGACGGCGTCCTCGTCGTCGCGCAGCTCGGCGGCGGCGCGCACCAACCCTTCACAGTCCCCGCGGGGCAAGCGGAAGACGGGCAGCCGCCAGCCGGGCCCGGAGGAGAACCGGGAGGGGCTCCTAGACTGCGTCAAGCACGTGCCGGAGAACTTCCAGGTAGGGCAGCCCAGCCGCTCGTAATCTAGTTAACGTTACTTGCAAAGACTTGCAAAACTGATGACTTTTTTTCCGTGCGATAGTCCGTGCTGCGCCAGCACATCATGGTCCAGCTCATGCTGAGCCAGGCGCACTCGGCCTCGAGCGCGGCCGTGACGGCCTCGCTCCACAAGGCAGAGATGATCTCCAGCTACCAGCCGTGGGTCATCCTCACGTACGGCGACGCCGCCAAGACCAAGACCATCACGCTGGCCAAGTACGCGCGCATCGTGCGCACGCTGCGCGGCGAGGAGGTCAACTCCGCCGAGAACTCCAAGTTCCGGTTCTGGGTGCGGTCCAAGGGCTTCCGCCTGGGCGCCCCCGAGCCGGACGGCCACGCGCGCAAGCCCGCCGACGACATCCTGGGCAGCTACGGCATCGACACGCGCTCCGGACACCTGTACGTGTGCGCCGACGAGGCGGGCCGCACCGTCCTGCCAGTGGACGCGCCGCCGCTCTACGTCCCCACCGGCACCAACAAGGTGAGTGCGGCGAGCTTGCCGCCTGCAGCGGAGCGCAGCGCGGCGCAGCGCGGCGCAGCACGTCGCCGGCGAAGGCCGCAAAGGCCGCCGTCGACGACAATCCAGATATCGACCGCGGCGCATGAAAAGAGGGGCCGGGGAGCGGCGGGCCGCGCGGGCCGGGCCGGGCCGGGCCGGGTTTGATGAAGGGGGCAGGGCGCCGCCAGGCTTCGCCGCCAGGCTGGCTAGGCAGATGCCGACCATGCCGACGGATCAAAAAGCAAAGAGAACAGGCGCCCTCGGCTGCCTCGGCGCGGCGAATGGGGAGGGGGAGGGGGCGGGGGGAGTCCGCCGCACTGCTTTGGCGCCCGCCTGCGCGCTGCGCCATGGCTGCGGCGAGGTGGCGAGGAGGCGACAGCCCCTGGGAGGTGCGCACCCCCTTTGGCGCCGTGCACGGTCGTGTCATGACGCGCGTCACGGGGCGCCGCCGAGCCTCTCTGTCTTTCTCTCTGTCTCTGTCTCTCTGCCAGGCCGTCTGTCTCTGTCTCTCCGGCAGGCCTGGTGAGCGGCGCGGAACTTCCGGGATGATCCTTTTAGTGGCGCAAACGCGGCGTGCACCATGCGGGGCGGGATTGTGATGTGGTTTGCGCGGTCGACGTTCATCAGGGCGTCGCTTCGCCGCCTTTCCCAGCCGCGTCTCTCTTTGGCGGCACCCGCTCTGTCTCTCTCGCACTCGCGGGTCGTGGCGTAGGGGAGCGAGAGAAAGCGCTGTTCGGAACCAACCCGCCAGCGCCCGGCCCGCGGACGCGGACACGGGGGTGACACCAACCCGAGCGGCCGCTTCGCCATTTGCATGTCGTGTTGACCCGGCCGTGGGCAAACTGGCCCGTGGCGATTTGGCGATGCTCGCATCACCGCGTCCCGACCGCCTGCCTGCCCGCCCGTCAGGCTGCCAGCCCTGCCCGTCCCGCCAGGCGCTGCAGCGGTGCATTAATCCCCTCGCGGATATCCAATTATTTGCGGAGCCCTGCGCCGCGCTCGCGCTTGTGTGTGTGTGTGTATGTGTGTGTATGTGTGTGTTTTCCGTGCCGCCGCCCTCTCCTCTCCCTAGCCCGAGTTCTTTCTCGTCTCTATCCCTCGCTGATCCCGCGGCGCGCGCTCTTTCTAGCCCCCTCCATCTCTCTCTCTCTCCTCTCTCTCTCTCTCTCTCTCTCTCTCTCTCTCTCTCGCACCCTGATGCTCCGGCACCAAGTTCGGCTCCGCATCGATCACGCTACCGCGGCTGCAGTGTCATCCGGGGAGCGAGAGAGTTGGCGGCCGCCGAGCAACATGCACAACTTTTCAGCAGCAGCAGCAACAACAAGGACACGCCGCGCCGTCCTCCGCCCGTCCCGGCAGTCCCGGTGGCAGGAATGGTAATTTTAATCGCGTTGGTGTGGATGTCGCCGCGTGCGTCTGGCGCCTGACAGCTTCAACCGCGCCGGGCCCTGGCAGCGTGGCCCTCCCCGCCCCGCCCCGCGCGGCGGGGACGTGTTGATCCCTTGGGGTGTGACTGTGTGAGGGAGGCCGGGCCCGCGGCACGGCACGGCGCGGCGCGGCGCGGCGCCACGGCGAGGAGGCGAGCAGAGCGAGGGGCGCTAAGTGTCCCGCCGGAGCGCTGCGCCGCGCCGCTGCCGCCGAGCCGAGGCTTCACGGCTTCACTCCACAGGAGCCGCGGTGGAGGGCGCGGCGGGCTGGGGCCCGCCGGAGCGCTGCGCCGCGCCGCTGCCGCCGAGCCGAGGCTTCACGGCTTCACTCCACAGGAGCCGCGGTGGAGGGCGCGGCGGGCTGGGGCAGAGAGAGAGAGAGAGAAAGGAAGACAGACGGACGGACAGACAGACAGACGGAGAGGGAAGGACGGCCCCGGCCTCGGCCCGGCGAGAGAGGAAACACCCGTTCATTAACTCGGCCTGTGCCGAGGCCCGTGCCTCGCCGACGAGGAGGGAGGGGAGGGGAGGGGAGGGGAGGGGCGTGTCACGGGGAAGAATAGGGAGCAAAGCAGGGGAGACGAGGAGGCGGGGTTGGTAGGGGCTTTTTGCGCTGGGAAATGTTTGCCTGCAGCGGGAGGGGGAATGAGAGTACTCGTCACGGCGTCGCGCGGAGCGACGGCGGTACGGCGTGGGCACGGCGGCGGCAGAGCGGCAGCGCGGCCCGAGGGGTGCAGGACTCGCTCCTCGCTCCGCTCCAACTAACTTGGAGTGATTTGTCAAGTGTAATCTCGCGTTTTGGCGGCGAGGCGCGGCACGGCGCGGCACCACGTCCGTCGTAACAGGAACGGGACATGGGCCGGCGGGCGGCGTGGGCGGCGAGGCCGAAATGGCCTTCGGCACGCTCGGCTCGGCCTGCCGCTCGGCCTGCATTTGCCGCGCTTTGCCGCGCGGGCGTGTCGACTTTCCACCCTTATCGAGCCACGAGCACCATCAAACCTCGCCGCCTCGCCGCGCCACAGATTCTCGCGCGCTCGGCCGCCACGCGTGACAGCCACGCGCACGCTGCGCACGCGGCCACGTGCGTGACGCGGCGGCGTGACAGGGTCCGCCCGTCCGTCCGCCTGATCGCCCGGCTGTCCGTCAGTCCGCACGACACGCGGCGCCGGCGGGCAGGCGGCCGGCCGGACTCATTGAAACCGTGACACCCTCGCGCTGGCGGTGCTGGCGGCGCTGGCGGCCGCTCCCCCTGTTTGCTCTGCGCGGCCCCGCGCCGCCCCGGCCGAGACATCAGCGCCGCCAGCCTGCCTGCGAGCCTCGTCCGCCCCGCTACATATTGCCAGAGAAAACACGCCGCTCATTGCTGCTGCTGAATAATTCGGCGGGTCGGATGGCCGGGCGCGCCGGGCGGCCGGGCTTACAGGGGACAGCGCCACACCCGCCGCCCCGGCCGGCGCCAGCCCGCTCCCCTCCGTCCCTGCGTCCCTCCGTCCCGTCCCGAGTGGCTGCAGAGAGCACCGCGCAGCGCCACAGCGGCACAGCGCCACCAGGCCGCGCTCGCTGAATAAATCAACTCTGTCCTTTTTGCTCATTTATTTTTCACACGGCCCCGCCGCCCCTGGGCACCGGGTCCTTTTGGTCCGTTGCGATTGCCGGTCGGTAAGCCAGCGCGCCGCCGCTAGAATTACACCAGGTGGTGGTTGTGGTGTGGTGGTGGAAGTGATGGTGGTGGTGATGGTGGCGGTGCACGCCTCGTCCGCTAACGGGCCGCCGCGCCGCCGCACCGCGAGATGGCGGTCGAGACTGTACGTCTGGCCGACCCCACCCCACCCGCCGCCGTCCCGTCCCGTCCCGCGAAGAGCTGCCGCTGCCGCTCCCTCCCCGCGGCGCATCCGAGACTCCGAGACCGCCCGGCGGCACCCCCGCGCCCCGCCCCGCCTCGCCGACTTAGCGTCGCCTCTGCTTTTCCTTCCCCCGGGGCCCGCTCCGCCTCGCGCTGCCTCGCCTCCTATCTGCGCCGTCACGGCCCGGAAGAGCGCGAGGGCTGCGAGGGCGGACGACGGCGAGGGCGAGGCCGGGCGAGGGGAAGGGGGATGTGCGCTGTTGCGGCCGTGTGGTCTCGACGGTGGCAAGCAGCGCGGCGCGGCGGCAGGCGGCGGTGGTAGGGTGCATTGAGGGCAGGCAGGGCGGGCAGGGGTGGCGGAGGGCAATAAGAGCTCCACTTGTGGTCGCCGCGCCCCGCACCGCCCCGCACCGCCCGCGCGCAGAGCTTGTCCGCCGTGATGAAGCTCGGTGTGGCCGCGGCGCTGCCCTCGCCGACCTGGATCACCACACGCGTTGCTGTCCGACGTGAAGCATGCCAGCACGGCGCTGCACCGCCTCCACTCCGTTCCACTCCACTCGCAGCGCGCCGTAAATTACTTGTATCCGCAACATGGTGGCGGCGCGGCGGGGCGCGGTGGCAGAGCGGCCTAGCTGCGGCGATGCGGAGGTCGTGTGGCGGGGCGCGGTGGGGCGTGGCGGGGCGGGGCGGGGCGGGGTGTGGCGGGGCTTTACAGCACCGGCGGGGTCACGGGAGCGAGCGAGCGAGCAGCAGGGAGTACAGGGGCTCTGGGACCGGGCAGGGAGGCGGCGCGGAGGCGGGGAGGGAGGGCTAGTTCCGGCCCTGGCGGGGCTGGCGGGCCCTGGCCTGTTGGCGCAGGCGGGGCACGTACAGCGTACAGCCGGGCCGGGCGCGGCCGGGGCGAGGCGGACGAAGCCGAGGCAGGGGCAGGCAGGGGCGGGGGTGAAATGGTTACCCCGCCGCCACCCCCGCCGCCCCGCCTCACGGACGCCGGCGCCTCGTCCGCCTGCGGGCCGCTGTAGTGGCGGCAGAGGACGTGGCCGGTGGCGGGGTGGGGCGGGCCGGGGCAGGGCCGGGGCAGGGCCGGGGCAGGGCCAGGGCAGGGCCGCGCTAATCCAGCCGGGAAGGGGTTGCGGACGGCGTGGGCCGCGGGGGTGAGGCGGGGCGTTGACTGATAGCAGCCCGGGTAGCTAATGAGGAGGTGGGCGGCCGGCAGCAGGATGCGGCGCGCCACTGATACAGCGATACGGCGATACAGCGATACAGCGCGGAGGCCACACTTGCTTGCTTCGACGCAGTAGCCGCCCGTAGCAACCTGGTAGCGCCGTGGTTAGAGTGCTGCGTTCCTGACTGGCAGGTCTCGGGTTCGAGACGAGTACCACGAGTATATTTTTCGGCAGAGGCAACCGACTTCTTGACGAGGTCTATCCGGAGAGGATTGAGTACCAGCGCTGGCAGTGCGGGCACCATGATCCACCGGTAGCTCAGTGGTTAAGAGCACGTTGTGGGAAGCGGCAGGTCCCGGGTTCGGGACCGGTAGTTTATATAATTTTTTCGGCCACCAATTGCTTGGGGAGGTATATCCAGAGAAGATTGGGTACCGGCGCTGGCAAGGCGGGTGCCATGGCGTCCCGGTGGCTCAGTGGTTAAGAGCATGATGTGGGAAGCGGCAGGTCCCGGGTTCGGGACCGGTAGTATACACAATTTTTTCG